CGTTGATGTGTGCGTGTGTGTGTTTGCGTGCGTGTGTGCATGTGCGTGTGCGTGTGTACGCGCCTCGCCTGCGGAGCGGGATGAGCCGCCGTGTAGCGGGCCCGGTCCAGCAGAGACGCAGGACCGGTCTCGCGCGGTGTGCCGCCGGGAGCTGAGCGCCAGCTGTGGCGGCCGCCGGCAGGAGGAGTCGGGCGACGAGGAGGACAAGCGGAAGCTGTCCCGCATCGTCACCCGCAAGTCCTCGCAGACGGTGTCCCAGGCGCACATGTGCAGCTACTGCAACTACACCAGCCCCAAGAGGTTAGTCCACCCGCTGTCCCGGGGCCCTCGACGGCACTGGCTATGTGTTTATGGTATTGATACCACGGAAATGCGTGTCATGCCCGTTTTCATAATCGGTGTTATTTAACATGGTGGTTGAGATTGGTTTAATCGTAATAAAAATACATGTTACACACCTGAGATGTTTCGAAAATGGCTGAGGCTATTGGAGGTAAGATTTACATTGGTTTTTATTTATCAAAGGGTCATCCATCATTGCTGAGATAAGCGTTTGCGTAGGTGCCGGAGGCATTGCAGGGTCTCTCGGGATGCCGTCGATTTTTGAAAACTGCGTCTTTATTTCCCTATCCGATTTCCTCCCAGTTATCAGAGCACCCCACACGCTGCTGTCAGCCGCGGCTGGGACGAGGCGTGTCCGCTCGTCCGGACCCGCGGCTGGACGAGGCGTGTCCGCTCGTCCGGGTCGCGGCTGGGACGAGGCGTGTCCGCTCGTCCGGGTTGCGGCTGGGACGAGGCGTGTCTGCTCGTCCGGGCCTGCGGCTGGGACGAGGGGTGTCCGCTCGTCCGGGTCGCGGCTGGGACGAGGCGTATCCGCTCGTCCGCGCCCGTGGCTGGACGAGGCGTGTCCGCTCGTCCGGGTCGCGGCTGGACGAGGCGTGTCCGCTCGTCCGGGTCGCGGCTGGGACGAGGCGTGTCCGCTCGTCCGGGCCGCGGCTGAGACGGGGCGTGTCCGCTGGTCCGGGCCGCGGCTGGACGAGGCGTGTCCGCTCGTCTGGACCGCGGCTGGGACGAGGCGTGTCCGCTCGTCCGGGTCGCGGCTGGGACGAGGCGTGCCCTCGTCCGGTTCGCGGCTGGGACGAGGCGTGTCCGCTCGTTCGGGTCGCGGCTGGGACGGGGCGTGTCCGCTCGTCCGGGCCGCGGCTGGGACGAGGCGTGTCCGCTCGTCCGGGTCGCGGCTGGGACGAGGCGTGTCCGCTCGTCCGGGTCGCGGCTGGGACGGGGCGTGTCCGCTCGTCCCGTGACGGGCCGTGCCCCTGCCGCCAGGTACCTGCTGTCGCGTCACATGAAGTCGCACTCGGAGGAGCGGCCGCACAAGTGCTCCGTCTGCGAGCGCGGCTTCAAGACGCTAGCCTCGCTGCAGAACCACGTCAACACGCACACCGGCACCAAGCCTCACTGCTGCAAGTTCTGCGACGCCAACTTCACCACCTCGGGTGGGTGTGTCGCCCCCCGAGCAGCGGTGTCGTGGTGGCTGGGACGTCGCCCTGGTTCCTTGCTCAAGCTGGTGGAAGGGACAAATCAGAGCAGATGAATTGCGGATATCGGAAAGGGGCGCGGTTTGTCGGTCGTTGGGGGGGGGGGGGGGGCCAAATTGGCATTACCTGCCACCGCGCGCTCAGTCCTTTGTTCGTAGATCGCAACTGTGTTGTGTTCTTATTTTTTGTAGCACATTGACACGTACATCGCTCACGAGCAAGCACTTGTTGAAGTTAGGTATGCAAACGAAAATTGCCTGCATATATTCAGGCAGTTGAAATTTTACGTTCCTAACTGCCCTCTGGTCTTTGCCTTCTTGTCTCAACTGTCTTTGGCCGTGTGCAATAGCTGGCTTGGTGCAAGTCGGGAGTCTCCCGTGTTCGTTTGGCTCGTATGGGTCCTAGCGCCGCGCTGGCTGCCTGGCGGGCTGCGACGGTGCTGTCTGTGTGACCGGGCGAGTCGGCCGCCTGACCGCGCCGCCGCCGCCGCCGACAGGCGAGCTGGTGCGCCACGTGCGCTACATCCACACCAAGGAGAAGCCACATAACTGCACCGAGTGCGAGTATTCGAGCGTCGAGCTGAGCAAGCTGCGCCGCCACATGCGCTCCCACACCGGCGAGCGGCCCTACCAGGTACGCGGTGGCAGCGGCGGCCGCGGCGGATTAGTGTCGGCGCCAGGGGTGGCTGCCTGTCAGAGGATTTCGGTCGAGGGGGGAGGGGAGGCTGTCTGCCGGAGCTCGACGGGGGTTCTTGGAGAGGATTGTGCAGGGCTGGGGAGCCCGCTCACAAACATGGAGGGCGTGTCGCTCAGGAGTCTAGTTTCTCCGTGGTGCGATTTCATGGCCAGAGTACGAACAAGACGTGAAGTGGCTGTGAAGCCCGGCTGGTCCTCGGATCCAGCTGGGACGGCCTGATCTGGCCGGGCTGAGCCGGTCGGCCGGCGCGGCGGGGTGAGCGGGCCGTGTCCGGCGGCCGGGGGTCCGGCCCGGCCGCGGCGGGAGGGCCGGCTCTGACGCGGCGTGACCTTCGCCTCGCCAGTGTCCGCACTGCACGTACGCCTCGCCGGACACGTTCAAGCTGAAGCGACACCTGCGCATCCACACGGGCGAGAAGCCGTACGAGTGCGACATCTGCGGCTCCCGCTTCACGCAGAGCAACTCGCTCAAGGCGCACCGCATGATCCACTCCGGTGGGTGCCCGGCCGCGCAGGCCTCGGCGTCTCGGACGCTATAATGCGTCGGCCCATGTAGACTGGGACGCTGTATATCACACAATACATGCGGCAAAAGCAGCGGACCATGGTCGCCAACGCAGGCCTGGCGGTTATCTCCTATTTTGTTATCTCACATTCCCATGGAGATATGCCCCTGGGTGGGAGAGCTTGCGAGTACGTTTCTTGTACTCGTGCTGGAAAGTGTGGACGTTTTATGTTAAGCTGCGCTCTGTCCTTTGTGGCGACGGTGTGGCAGGACGTAGCACTCGTCGGTCTGCACCGCCGCTGTGGCCTTCTGACCACCGCGAGATGCCCGCGTCACCCGCATCTCCGTGTCGCAGGTGACAAGCCCATCTACCACTGCGAGCTGTGTCCGACCACGTGCGGCCGCAAGACGGATCTGCGCATCCACGTACAGAAGCTGCACACCTCCGACCGGCCCATCAAGTGCAAACGCTGCGGCAAGAGCTTCCCCGATCGCTACTCGTTCAAGGTGCGACTGGCCCGGGCCGCGACGCTGCACGCTGCCAGTCTTGACGGGGGTGTCCGGTGTGGGTTTGTGTTTGTGTCGGCGGACACCGGCTCCAGACGGTCATTGGTTGGTATCTCGGGCTGATCTATCTGCGGGGACGGGCTGACCTGGGCGGAATGCCATGGGCCTCGCGTGGATCAGCTGTGCTGGGGCCCTGGGGACTGTTCTCGCCACGAGAGCCCCTGCGGCGCAGTCTTGTCGCGATGGCCCTGTGTTTAGCTCTGTGCGTTGATCGCCTGTTGTCGCTTTTCAGCTACACAGCAAGACACACGAGGGTGAGAAGTGCTTCAAGTGCGACCTGTGCCCGTACACGTCCATCTCGCAGCGCCACCTGGAGTCTCACATGCTCATCCACACGGACCAGAAGCCGTTCGTGTGCCAGCACTGCAACCAGTCGTTCCGCCAGAAGCAGCTGCTGAAGCGGCACGTCAACCTGTACCACAACCCGAGCTACATCCCGCCGCAGCCGCGTGAGAAGACGCACGAGTGTCCCGAGTGCGGCCGCGCCTTCCGCCACAAGGGCAACCTGATCCGCCACCTGGCCATCCACGACCCGGAGGCCAGCGCCGCCGAGAAGCAGCTGGCACTCAAGCTCGGCCGCGAGACCAAGGTTTCGGTACGTGCCGGGCGGCGGTGGCGGCGGGCGCCGGCGCGGTTTAAGGGGGGGGGGGGGGGGCGTCATCTGCCGTTCGTAAGGCAGGTGGTTCTTGGTTTGTGTCTGTCAGACTGTGATTAGTGCTTGCAAAGACAAGCAAGTGCCCCGTGCATACCAGCGTTGCGGAGCGCTGTCTGTGCCGCGATCGCTCTCAGCTGACTGACCGTTGTACGACTTCTGGCCCGCCGACGCTGACGCTCGCGGTGGAGTCGCGTCGCCGTGGCATTGCATGGCGACGGAGGTCAGACACATTGGACATCAGACGGGTCCGGGTCCGGCTGTTCGTCGCCGTCCGTGACGTCTCGTCTGACCGATCACCGCCTGTCCGCCGCCCTGTCGGTCGTGCGCCCCCGTTGATGCCGCCGGCCGCCGGCCACCGCGCAGATGCTGGACTCGCGCCAGATGCCGATGTACGAGGAGTCCGACGAGGACCTGGGCGCCGGCATGGCCGAGAATCAGGACCTGCAGAGTCGCGAGAAGATGGTGGCCGTGCAAGGCCAGGACGGCCAGCAGTACGTGGTGCTGGAGGTCATCCACCTGCAGGTTAGCAGCGGGCACCGGAGCCAGGGCGACGACCGGCCAGCTGTCGGGGGGGGGGGGGGGGGGGGGAGTAGGGAGCGTGTGCCGCGCACTCCTTTGGGAACAGGCTCAGGTCACGCCGCGTGTGATAGCCTGCCAAATGGGATTGGTGTGCTGTAACGACAATGTGTGTGCGCGGCGTTGCTGGGCCCGTCGAACGTTGCTGTGATCATCACTGGGTGAGCGCTTTGGTCATCACCGGGTGAGCCGCATCAATAGGGCCGTCGCGCAGCGCTGATGGTTACTGTAGCCGTTATGCGGCGGCGGGCGCCGGAGCCGCGGTTGTCGCCGCGTCACAGCCGCCGCCGCCGCCGCCGGCAGGACGCCAACGGCGAGGAGCAGACGGTGGCCGTGGTGCCGGACTCGGCGCTGGGCCAGTCGGGCGCCGGCATCGACATGCTGTCGGCCGCCGCGCCGGCCGCCGCCATCGACGCCGGCGCGCTCTCGGCCGAGGTGAACCTGGCGGACGGCCTGCCGGCGGGCCTGCAGCTGCCGGCGGCCGGCGGCGCCGAGGAGCCGCCCCGCCGGCCCGGCACGCCCGGCGGCCGCCGCCGCGTCGACGACCACGCCGTCCAGAAGAGCAAGCAGGACATGCAGAACTGCTTCGGCTTCGATGTGAGTGGGCCGGTGCTGCAGCGTTCACCTTGGACCGGCGGAGAGGCTTGAACATAGAGTGGACTATGTAATGGGGTCCTAGAAATTTTGGATCCAGATGCCCGGACCAGGTGCTGGTGAACAACTCACCAAGCTCAGGTCAGCTGTCTCATTAAGGACAGCTGTGCAGGTCCAGGTGGATTCCAGACTCGGGGCGGTGCGTCTTCATTATTGCGAGGATATTTATAGATTTTAGCGTGATTTCTAGAATGTACAAAACATCCATAGTTCCACACCATACTTGCCGATTGCTGTCACGTATGGCGTCCTCACCGACTGCAGCTCCTCCGCCGACCCGCACCGCCGTCGTGTCGTCTTTCCCGTGCCCCGAGTGGTGGCGCGCGACCTTGCATGAGCCCGCGCCCGTCCCTGCTGACGCCGCGCCTCGCTGCTGCAGGACGAGGAGGACGAGGTGGACTTCATGGCGACCGGCAAGAAGGAGGCCGTCGATATGATGTAGGCGACCCGTCACCTCTCTGACTGGACGGTCTCGAGCGGACAGTGACTATGGAGGCGCCACCGCTCCGCCAGCGGGGTGGGCGCCGTCGGACCGCGGTGCGCGTGCGCGCGTCGGCTCGTGAGCGGGATGTCCATCGCCCACCGAAGCCTCTCGCCTGACTTGCGGGTGGCGGCGCCGGCGCCTGATCACGACCGCCGCGGCTCTGACGGCCCCGCTCGGCCATCGGTGGCGGTCGCTGCCCGCCGCTACACTGCAGCATGACGGGGCGGAAGCGGTGTGGTGGAGCCTGCCGCAGCCAGGCGGTGGCGTACGGCTCGGGCCGGTCGCGCAGTATTCGTGTGTGGCTGTTCAATGCCCGGATGCGGCAATATCGCATCGAGCCGAGCGTGTGTCGTGCTTGTCCGGGTGCACGCTTGATCTGTCCTTGGGCGACGCCGTGTGGGCCGTTCCGTACCGAGACGCTCGTAACGCACACCGGACTGGACGCCCGGCCGCACATCAGCAGGCTGAGCGACGACGGCGTTTGGTGGCCGTGACCCGATGCACGTCGATGACCTATGTAACTTATATTTAGGTGATGCCGAGAGTTGGAATGCTGCCGCAGCACCAGGGTATGCAGGAGCCGCCGTGGTCGCTGGTTTTGTACGGAGGGTTTGTCGGTGGTTGGCGGGTCCGTGACGCGGCGCGAGCGTCAGCGACTGGCGCTCGCGGGGCCCGGCGGCATTCGCTGCGTGTGTCGAGTGGCGCCGCCGCCTGGTGCGAGCCCGCTGCCGGGCGCGCGTCTCGGTGGCGTGGTCTCTTCTCTTGCCGTGTGGAGCTGGTGCGGCGGCGGCCGCTGGTGCAGCGCCTCTGGCCGGCGTGTGTGGCGATCTCTGCAGCTCGGCGCCGCGCTGACGGGGAGCCGACTGATGCCGGCGTCACTGCCGGGGCTGGAAACGCCCCGTGGCCCGGACCGGACCGGCGCAGTGGCCGGACGGGGGACCTTCCGCCGGCCCGTGTGGGGTCCAGTTCTCGGTGTCGCGTTTTGGATTCAAGATTCGTGTTATCCGGACCCAATGTCTGTATTTGTGTCATGTGGTGGTGATACACCGTAGATCTATCCATGTATGTGTCTGTGTTACTGGCTGCGTTTTGAACAGTGGTCTTGTAGGGGTGAAGGGGGAGGACGTGGTCAGTAGATTGCTTCACGGATGCGAGGGAGGCGTCTCGGTTGAGAACAGGGTATTTTCACGCTGAATCGCAGCTAACTTCACTATTGGGGGGCGAAGTCGCCGAGTTAAAAAATTAAGAGATTGCATGCTACATGACTGATTAAGGACGGCTTTTTCGTAGCATGCGCCTTTGACAATTTTTGAAATTTCCCATCAGTCTTAGATATAATGGCGTCTCAGGTGTTTCATGTCCTAATAATGGGATCCCGTGTCACGTCTCGTCGAATAATAGCTTGCCTGTTACAAAGTGCACGTCGGGCTTTAACCAATGCCGGCTAATCCTCCCTGTGGTCCCAGCTGATCGCGGTTGTTGACTTGCTGCCGAAATTATTGGTGACTTCCCGGAGCAAAATTGTCTCCACCGAGTTAGAAAGTGACATGCCTCTTGCAGCAGCTGTTGAATTGCCTTTACGAACGAACAAACCCTACCTGCGTCTTTGGATCATCACGTTTGCGGATGCCCTGTCAGGCTTTGCTAGCCCAGTTGCTACATGTGGAACCCACTTGCGACCTCCCTTCGCAGCGCCTTTCGTTCACAATTTTCCGAGTGCAGCATGTATGAACGTCGCCCTAATCATGATTGCGTGCAAGGGACGGCTATATCCATTGCCCCCCCCCCCCCTCCTTTGCACACACACACACACACACACACACACACACACACACACGCACGCACGCACGCACGCACGCACGCACACACACACACACACACACACACACACACACATACACACACACACACCGTGGGGCCCCCGCGACTGGTAACTTCGTCGGACCCATACAAATAACGTGTGGAAGCAACCCCGTCGCGGCTGGTGAGCATGTGCTCATTGTATGCGGTCTTGACGATTTTCTGGGAATGTACTGATTCATCGACAGTGGCCGTCTTCACCGGGCCGCGTTCCTCATAGGCGAAGTTGATGCCTGAATTACTACCTTCGACGTCACAAGTGCATACGTCATCGCCAGCGACTATACTCCAAGCCGTAGCAACGGTTGTGACGCGCCTACCTAGGACGTCAGAGGTTGTTTGGGCGGCGTTTGGTAATGGGGAACACGGCTCCGATGATGGAGCTGGGGACTGACCGCATTGGACTGACCAGACATGGGGATGGCGGGACGCACCTGAATTGTACGCACTCACGTTTGTCGGCGGTTTTGTCACATCCCGCTGCCGTCACCTGGACCCGGAGAGTGCCGACAGCTAGGCGACTTCACCATGTCAGTAACATCATGCTGGCACCGGAGAGTCCGATGAGGTAGATTCCAGTACGCTCGTGACACCAGGTGAGCAGCTGGTGTTACGGTCTTCAACCTCGTTATGGTCCGTAACGCCAACCGACACCCAGACGTAGTCCTTCGTGTGACAGAGCTGCATCTGGAGAGACAACCCGTTTTAGACCGGCGAAGTTTCTGCACACTGTTTACCGCCAGCTGCACCTCTTGCTCATGTGACTTACCGAGGGAAGGCGCAGGCTACAGAGGCGCGCGCGAGTGTGTGCCATTTGGGCTTTACCACGCACTCAGCTGCTAAGGCTTTATGGCGTCGCCTTCCTCGCCTATCGGCACAGAGGCGCGAGGACGAGCAAAACAGCTTTGCTACGACGCGCGAGCCGTCAAGTGGGCAAAGGAAAGTGCACCACTTTGTTGGCAATGAAGGACATTGCCGAGCGGTATCGGGTTGCATTAGATTTTGCCCAAGACTTTTGAAACCAAACAGCACCAAATCTATACTGATTTCGTAAAAAAACATTCCTGTCATTTTAAGGTGTTTGTCGCCATCGCGATGCCAGCTTCGGTAGGCACAAGATAACTTATTTGGCCTACTCACGGGGCCGACGACTGAAGCCGACGGTGTGCGTCGTATGGCAAATATTTCTGTCAAATTGTTACCACCGAATGGCATCAAGAATGGTCGATGTCACCCCTTGGGTGAAATATCAGACGCTGAGTCCGCTGTCTTTGCAGTTAGATTTTAAAGGCAATATTCCACATTTGAACACATCAAAGCAAGCATCAGATATGATGGAATAGGCTCACTTACAGCTATTGGTATACTTTGAAGTGGACGAGACTGCTCTAAATAACACGACGCCTGTTTAGACTGTGCCTATCATACACCATTGTCTGATTGCGTCATTGTCTTCCTCTTCATATCTCCTAGCTCAACAAGTGACGAGATGCAACAATAGAAACCCGGCAGACTGAGAAACGCCACCCGACTTCTTCGGCAGTAACAGACTGCGCCTCAAAATCTTCTCAACAGTCACCCAGCGAGACAGGCGAGCCACTCTTGTCGATCTCTTTGCTCAAGATATGTCTGTGACGTTAGCTCTCTTGTTGCTTAGGATATGTCTGTCAACGCAGCCCACTTTGCGCCGCGTCGTGCCCGGGCCGAACGGCGGGACACGACGAATGTGCGCACGGGTTATCGTGCAGTGCCGAGTTTTGTAAGGACGCGCCCGGCAGGCAGCACGTGGCCCGTGCGCATGGTGCAGTGCTGTCCATTGGTTTTGCACAGACGGCGGCGCAATGTGAGCCGCACGAAACAGTGAAGGAGCCGCTCGAAACCGTGACCGCTCGGTGAGCACGGGTCGGAACGAAAGGAAGTTGCCACTGTGTGGTTGGGAATTGAACGAAAAATCGCGTCGCACTAGATGTGCCGTGGGATATGCTACACGTCGCGTGTACAGAGGCGGTCCAGATGTATTCGCCCGGATTTGACGGATTTTCGCGTTCTTTTGTCACACCTCGGCAGCCAGAGTGGGTGGAGGCGCGAGTCTAATTGCAGAGCTTCCGCCAGCGTACCGTCAGCAATTCATGTGGACAACTCTAGTTTGTGCAGCGCACGGTTACGCTAGCTATCGTAGGGCAAGCCGAGAATGTCGGCACCCCGGAAAACGTTGCTGAATACAACACGATGTCGTCGAAACTGCAGCCAGGGTCGTGTCGAAATTAACGCAGGCATGCACGGACGCATTGCCTGTGCTTGACACCCATTTATTCACCATTATGTGCACTATTCCGTCCAAACCCAAACCTTACCTAAAATGCCGCATTTCCACATTGTTGCGTCGCCAATACGCCACCAGTTCATCGACCAGTCGCCGCCGGTGATAATCAAATGCAAAACGAAATGCGCGCGCCACATATGTTGACAGCATCCGACAGCAGCCATTCAACTTTTGTTCTTTGTTGCGGCGATACGATGGCTTATAATGAGGATCACATGTATCACATGAATCCCTTCTTGAAAGAAAAGCTATAATAACCACACATTTTGAGAAAATGATAATTTGCAACGGGCGCGATGACAGAACCCATGAAATGTGGCTATTGTAAAGCGAAGCCCGCTGCTACGGCAAAACAGAACGTCCACTTGTAAAACAGCACACCCACCGTGTGTTTGGAGGTCACTACTGCACTTTCAGTATAGCTGCACAGCAAATTTGCATCGTCATTAAGAAGAAACAGGGGAGAAATTAGAAAGATCTGACACTCAAAATAGGATGAGTACAGCTTCCTTAAACCTTTTGGAATGCGTAGCAGCCCCCAGTTGTAGAGAAAATCCGGAGAGCAAGATTACAGAAAACACCGAGAATCATTGACTTTGTCTTAGTAGGCAAATCGTTTACCTATTGCACCAGAATGCCTCAAATGATGCCTTCCGATCATTTGTTTCACGGCTTTATTGTGGTTTTATTTATTGTGGCTTTATTGTGGCTATTACGGCTTTATTTATTACTCATCACCTTCGCGGCATGAATATACGGCACGAAGTGGGTAAGGCGAATGCAACGTTTATCTCAGGTTATAACTGGCGCTATCACCATCGGTTTACAAATGCCTCAGGAAGCGAATGCAATGGAGGCATTCAGGCATTTGCAACAACCACTTCCCGACACGCAAGCGCATATTAGGAGGAGGAGGGGGGGGGGGGGGCGTGGTTACCAACATATTTCAGTTAAGGTTGTAAGTGATTCACACCACGCTGCCGCGCTCCTGCACGACGAACTGGCTTACAGCGCAATTGTTACACGTCCCTAGCATCACATCCGGTTTCGGTCACACCCATCGTCACCCAGGAAATTCTATGAATGATGTTAGATTCATGCATGAATGATGTAGATGCAAATCTGCCATGGAACGTGGCGGGTGTTTTCATTAATTTTCAAGCAGCCAGCCTCGTCGCTTAGCGGAGCAATCCCACAAGCACTTGTGCGCACAATTCAATAGTAAGGATTTTCTTAGCACATATGCTCAATTCGGTGAGTTGAATTCTTTCCACTTTGTTGTGGGCAGTACGCTGGGAGAGGAGCTTTACCACATTTAGCGAGCCTGCTTCCCAAACACTTGCAATTAACGGTTTGCAGCGTCCTGTTTTGCTGGTCGATCTTGAACGTTTGAAGGTGATATTCGGTGAACCCAGTGCTTTGCATGTGAATATTTTGCCAACTCACCGATGTCCGTTTTGATGTTTGACATTACCGATATCTTGTAGTTGATATTTTGTTATCGATATTACGTGTGTTTGATTTTATTTGATGTTTGTTTTCGATTACGGACGTTTAGCGGTGCATAATATGACGAGTGGATTGACGCATAAGCGGAACACTTAAATTTGAACGCCTCTCCTAACAACAAGATATGGCCATCACCGCCAGGGAGCCCGCGACACGCTGCCCACCCGCCCGATCCGTAAGCCGACACGGGCCAGGCGCCCGCCGCCACTCCAGTCTACACATATAGCCGTCTCGGGCCGGCGGTGGACGCCCGGCCCGGCAACGCCACCCATTAGCCCATCTGCTGCCCGCGCTCGCTGGAAGTTTTTAGGCGAATCGCTTGGTCTGAAAAAAACAAATGTTTGGAAAATTTTTGCTACGTGCTGCCCATTGC